ATGTTATGTAAGTCTGGACAGAAACGCAGTCTCACTGGTTGGTGGAGGCGTACAGCTCCAAGGTGGTCATCATAGTTTAAACTTAGAATACACATTACAACCTCAGCAGCCTGCTTTAGTAACGCTTAGAAACACGGTGTCTTGCAGCATTGCTCTGGTTTCATTGTCCTTCAGCAGATCATGTCAGTGTTTGCTCATTTTCTTTCATCTTGTATTCTATATAAACCTCAAGCTACTTGTTCTTCAGTCTGCATTCCTGCAGGTCAGTGAGCCTCTTCCTCCCTTCCTCTTTAAAGCTTTTCAAACTCTCTGTCAACTATCAGCCGTTTCTACAGCAGTCTGAAGCACTTCTCTTTCATGCAGCTTTTGTCTTGTGTGCAGAGAAAACAATGTGGACAAGGAGAAGAATTAATGGTTTGTTGAAACCATGGTAACAGCACAAGTACACCCAAGGTGACATGATTATGCTCCTAAAATAATAACTAGTGGTAAGTTGTTGCCCTAGCAACTACAAGAAGACGATCATCCATACCAGAGGCTGGGAGCATGTGGTCTACGCTGTGTGAGATGCTGTCTTGCTCGTCTCCTTTTCACCATGAACTCAGTGCAGCAGGTATCAAACAACTTTCATTGTAACTCCCACTAAGTTAACCCAATCATTACATATATATATTTGATTGGCTTCCGTTAATCAGCTTAACCTCTGGAGCATTTGTGAGATGCTCCAAACTCAACACTATACGATCAGCCTCTGAAAAGACAGCTCAGCTCCAGGTTGGGTAAAGTGAGAAATTATTTTAAATGTCTTCCAGATCTAAAGACGTAAATCATCAGGTTAAATGATTCTCACTGTTGTTAAACCAATGAGACACGGCTCATTAAACTTCACTGTAAAGCTGTGGATAAAGTTGGCTCTCCACAGGCCAGACAAGATTTTTCACACCTAACTTGGACAGCCAGTTCCTGGTGGAGCTCACATCGTAGTCCAGGGCTTCTGTCACAATTAAACAGGAAATTTGGATTAAAAGTAATGAACAGTGTGTGTGTGGAGAGAATAAGGAGACTAGGAGCAGTGAAGAAGATAAAGATTAGACTCCTTGCTCAGTGACACAAGGGACAGCCACTCAGATTTTGTTTGTTTAAAATGTATTTATATATGCATTTATTTATTAAAATAAGTCAACATGGGCCGCGCTACAGCTCACCCAGTTGAGCTGGTGACCCACGCACAGGGGCTATAGTCCCTGATGCAGCAGCCATGGGTTTGAATCCCGCTCATGGCCCTTTGCTGCAAGTCCTTACCCCCATTCTTCTCCCCACTTTCCTGTCTCTCTCTTCACTGTCCTATATAAAGTCAAAAAGGCCACAATAAAATTAACTTTAAATAAGTCAACATGTTACTTGCAACCCATCCAGCGTACAGCACACATCCAGCACACCTCAAGTGCTTTAAACCAGGTTCCAGGACAAACTGCTTTATGACCTCTGCTGATGTGTTGGAGGAATTACAACA